CTCCTCCTCCGCCTCCTCCTCCTCCGCCTCCTCCTCCTCCTCTCATCCTCCACCTCCTCCTCCTCCTCCTCCTCCTGCCGTTTCTGCCGTTTCTCGCTGAGCCAGCGTCTGAAGCCCTCCTCCTCCTCCTCCTCCTCCTCCTCCTCCTCCTCCGCCTCCTCCTCCTCCTCCTCCGCCTCCTCCTCCTCCTCCTCCTCCTCCTCCTCCTCCTCCGCCTCCTCCTCCGCCTCCTCCTCCGCCTCCTCCTCCGACACCCAAGAGACCCAGGGTGTCTCTTGGCACGGGCCCCCACTGCAGTCGCCGACGGGAGGGCGCCCCCCGAGGACACGAGCCACGCCTCGGCACAGCGGGCCTCGCCTTCAGCGCCTGTCCTGCAGGATGCCCCCAGCTCTCGCGAGGGCTTGCAGGATCTGAGCGCGCGCCCCTCCCCCCCTCTCGAGAGTCAGGTCGGGCATGTCCTCCTACAGGCGGATGTTGGAGGAAAAGAAGAAATAACCAAAAATCAGAATACTAAGAATAGCCACATACCAATATATCTATATATAAAATACAAGTAATAACGATCAGAATAGTCACGTTCATCATAATAGTAATCATCATCATCATCATCATCATCATCAGCAGCATCAGCATCATCAGCATCATCATCATCAGCATCAGCATCATCATCATCATCATCATCATCATCATCATCATCATCATCATCATCATCATCATCATCATCATCATCATCACCATCTTCATCATCAGCAGCAGCATCAGCATCAGCATCAGCATCAGCATCAGCATCATCATCATCATCATCATCATCATCATCATCATCATCATCATCATCATCATCATCATCATCATCATCATCATTATCATTATCATTATCATTATCATTATCAGCATCAGCATCCTCATCCTCGTCTTCATCGGCATCAGCATCATCACATTCATCATCATAAGCATCATCAGCATCATCATCATCATCATCATCATCATCATCAGCAGCAGCAGCAGCAGCAGCATCGTCGTCCTCATCCTCCTCCTCCTCCTCCCCCTCCTCCTCATATCTGTTCTGGACCGCACAAAAAAAAACGTCCCACACGTCCTCCTGCGGAGGGACACGCCCGATTTCAACCCTAGCTCTCGCGAAGGCCTCCGCCCCCCTGTCTCTAGCGAGACACAAGAACATACAGACACTATTAATCCTCGATTCCCAAAACATAGATTGGGAAATATAGGAAGTGGGGGGGAATACAGAAACCCAGAAAGTATGGGAAAATATGGGGAATCTGTTTATTTGTATGTATTTATTTGTGTGTCCTGGGGCCCCTTCAGATTTCTCGGGGGTCCGCGCGGATGTCTTGGATCGGCGCGGGCGCGGCGGGTGCGGCGCTGGAGGCGACGCCAGGGGGGGGGGGGGGGCAGGCGCCGATCCAAATTAGAAATCCGCGCGGACCTCCGAGAAATCTGAAGGGGCCCCAGGACACACAAACAAATACACACACATAGAAAGATTCCCCATGTTTTCCCATTTTTCTGGGTTTCTGTCTTCCCCCCCACTTCCCAAATTTTCCCACACACACACACATATATATATATATATACATATATATATATATATATATACAAGTGGCACGTGTGTGCCCAGGCTCATACAACAAGCTGAAGGGGCGTTTGAAGCAGGAGTGACATGCAACAGCGAAGTCGCACTCGAGCGCAAGTGGGGTTGCCACACCTTGCGATGTGTGTACCAGGGCCCCCCAGGAAGCCTCAGGAGGCCCGACTTGGATACCAGGAGAGGCTCCAGGAGGCCCCAGGATTGTGAGTGTTGTGTGTGTGTGTGTGATGTGTGCTTTGTGTGGTGCGTGCTTTTTGTGTGTTGTCGGTGTTGTGTGTGTGTATGTTATGTTTGTCTAGCGTGTGATGTGTTGGGCGTGATTTGTGTCTCTGTGTGTGCATGTAGTTCTGAAGCCCCAGGAGGCCCCAGGAGGCCCCAGGCGGCCTCAGCAGGCCCAGGAGAACTCCAGGAGGCTCCGAGGCGGGGTCTGGGGTACCAGAAGGTCCAGAAAGCCCCAGGAGGCCCCAGGAGGTTCCAGGAGGCCCCCAGGAGGCTCCGAGGAGGGGTCTGGGGCTCGATTTTGGGAGGATGTCTCAGGCGAAACCGCCATTCTCTGAGAATCGGAGTCAACATCATTGAAATTACCATGTGTTTTTGAAGGTTTTATGATAAAATGTTGGAAATCCTATGTGTTTTTGGACCCTGACGTCACGATCTGCGTGAGGGGTGCCACCGATTTTCAGAATTTAGAGGATGTCCCGAGCGAAACGGCCAGAAAAATCGCGAACGACGGACGCATTAATCGCCTCTGAGCTCTACTCCCTCGGAGAGGTGCGTATGATAATATATATATATATATATATATATACATATACATATTTAGGGGGGGGTCGAGGATTAATTGTGTCTGTGTGGTTTTCCCAACCATCCTGTGGTGTTGGGTCCTCGTTT